TTTAATTTCTGGATTTAGGCATTTAGGTAGATACCGCAACTTGCATTTGCAACATTTTATTTTATTTTTATTTGATTATTTATTTATTTGAAGGGCAGAAGCCCATTATGTCCAAACTTAACAAAAATAGTATTAAAAATAACTAACAAGTAAATGATGGAAAGTCCAAATTGGAAACAATTGGGTAAGTATCTACTTAGATTGCAAACATGACTTACTGACATACTAAAGTGTTTAATACTATATTAATTTAATATTTATAGGTTATCTTATAAATAATAATCTTCAACATTGTGATAATTAACTCAAATGAGTCTGTGAGAGTTGTTGTTCAAATTGTTTAGGTGTAGTGAAGAATTCTAGATTGGTAATGGCCATAGTTTGTGCGGTAAAAAGGAATATGAAAAGTTTGACGATTTCTTGTGTTGAAATGAGGAACAAGAAGGTTGACTCTTCTTGTTAGATGGAAACAATCCACTGGAGTTAGGTACTTTAATTCAAAAAGCAAAGATAGGTCTCTGAGACTTCTTCTGGTGAATACAGTTTGCAGATTTAGTCTCTGATGCAGAGCAGAGCTCCATAGCTGAACTCATTATGGAAATTTTTTTAATTAATGTAGCGAAGGAATCTTCTCTGTAAGTATACCCTCTATTCTTGTGGTATGTATTTCGTAGTGACGGTTCCAAATAGCTAAAGCATATTCTAAGTGTGACCTGACTTGACTGCAATAAAGAATTTTAAGAGCATGAATGGAGTTAAAATCTCGAGTAGGCATTTCGTTTTAGAAATCCTAAAATTATAAGCGATTTATTTACTATGAAAGTGATATGGTCAGTATAGGATGCCAAGGATGCCAAGATCAGTTATTGTTTCAACCATCATAAATGAATTTCCGTCAATGGTGTAATTAAAGGCTGTTTTAGAGCGTAGAGCGTTTGCAAGAAAAGATCATTAACTTACATTTTGATACATTTTGATACATTTCGCTCCATTCCATTTGACTTATATCACCGTACAAACTCATTAGGATCATGCTGTAGCAAGATCAGGGACTTGATAGAAAATTGTTATGTCTCAAGTTTGAATGGCTGGTAGAATCTAAACTTATAGAAATAGAGCAAAACGGCTTGCACATTCCTATCCTAGTTTTCCATAAGCTATCACCCTAGCCTAACACTATGTATGTGTGTATCAAGTATGTAATGCACAAAATTCAGTCTAGCTCTCTCCAGGTCCCGGTCAAGTCTGTTTTTGAATGCGTTCTTTGAAGGAGCACTGACTGTGCTTTCCTGAAGGGCGTTCCACTGATATATAACCCTATTCGTCAGAAAATTCTTTCTGATCAGCTTTGAGCATCTCTCCTTATCCAGCTTCTTAGTACCTATGGCCTCGGAGTTGCTGGTTAGTATTTAGATTGAAAATGTCCAGTTGCAACGTCTAGCTTTTAGAGTTGTTATATCGTTTCTCAGTTGTCTTCCTTCGTATGAGAGATTTCTGATTTCAACGGGGAGCTTTGTCGTTCTACGCTGGACTCTTTCCAATATCTCAATGTCCGTAACCAGGTATGGGCTCCAAACCGAATGTGCGAACTCCAATTCAGGTCTGATATATGTTTTTTATATTTTGCTAACCATGGGGATGGATATGTCACTAAAAGCTTTCTGTATGAGGTATACAAAAGTTGTCCTTTTGACAACTGAAGAAATAGGGGCTTCCCATTTTAGGTGATTTGAGATAATGACACTCAGATCTTTCTGCTCAGTGATAGCCTTCATACAGTAGTGCCGTTTAAGCTGGAAGGTATGTTTGGATTTTTAGGGCCAATGTGCAGTACAGTGCACTTGTCGGGGTTGTTAGCTGCCATTCGCTGATCCATTTCTCGAGTGTTTTCAGGTCGTCTAAAAGGTTGTGATGCTCCAAGCACGGATTGCAGTATATTTTTGTGTCATCAGCACAAAAAATGATGTTTGTCCTTATAAGAGAATCGCTACTGATGTATACGGTAAACAACAGTGGCCCCAACACCGATCCCTGTGGCACCCCACTAAGGACCTAAGGGTCTTGTTTTTAACAAGGAAAGATGTCATTTCCTGAACTATTATTTTTTCCATGATCCCGCATAGGTTACAGGTAAGGCTAATTGGTCTGTAATTTCCAGGGTTGAGCTTGTCTCCTTTTTTGTAGATTGGCACTACGTATGCCCGAGACCGCTGTCTGAGGATCAGAGATAATCACTCCCGTGATTGGTTCTCTGAGCACAAGCTCAGATGCGTTGCTTAGCATACGTAAAACTATGTAGGTACGCTAAAATTTATTCTAAGGAAACATAAAGTCGTGGCTGATATTTTGTTGTATGTAGAGGGCAGGTGTGCTTACTGACTTGAATATGAATTCTATTTTCGTATTGTTCAATGCCTAAACAAGATTGAAATAATAACGTTCGAATTGTATGTCATTTTTGAGTTTCGGTGTGACTTAATTTCAACTAAAAGTAATTAAAAATAACAGGAGGTGTGTGTTTTATTCAAAAACAAATATCCGGATAGAACATCCACATTGTAGCACTCGTCAAATCAGTCGCCATTACGATATCCCTACTTCGTCTGTATAGACTTTAGACCGTATATGAGGTTTAAAGTGGCATCCTTATAAAATACAATTGGTAAACGAGTTAAATGAAAGCGATCCAGACCGCCGGATGCAATTCTGTTAAACTTCAATGGATATATGCCCAATCATTTTCCTAGTCAAGTTGAAAATGTTATATATTCTCAGATGAATCAATTTTCAAGTTAACAGGGGAAGCTATTAGACAAAACTGTTGCTATTGAGCAAAAGAAATGGATGAGAGAATAGGTAACACATCCAATATCCTGCAATTATTAATGTTTGGTCAGGAAATGTCAAAGATGAGATTAGGTATTGAGCCTTACTTTGTTGAAGACACGTTGGACGGTCCAAGATACCATTTTTTTTAAACAATTTATAAACCCTACTTTAGGAAACTTCTTTCACAGTGCTAATAACCCGAGAATACATGACGAAAATTTATGGTCCCGGCAAGATGGTGCATCACCACATTATGCAGGCGTGGATCTACTAAATGGCCACCGCCGTCTCCCGAATCTAAATCCCATGGACTATTTTTTGTGGGGCCATCTGAAAAATGTTGTGTATACAAAACTAAACCTATGAATCCATGGAGGACTTAAAAGCTAGAATTAGAAGAGGAAGAGAATGTGGTAATATCAGACGATAAAGAATCCATATATGGTCCAGTAGGAATTTCTAAATCGTTTGGTATAAGGCACAAGAAGCATGGTTTCAGTTTGAACGTTTGATTAAGTATTATGTAAAGTAGGTTCCTTATTTAAATAGGTATACTATGTTTCATAAAAAGTCGAGTAAAAAGTATTTCAGTTGAAATTTATTATTTGATTGCTTATGAAAAACTAGGACAAGAATGTGTGAGCCGTTTTGTTCCATTACAATCCGTTAAGATTAAGATTCTACAAATCCCTCCAAACATGAAAAATACCAATTTTCAAGTGTTAATATTTCGGAAACAGTTGAAGATAAGTAAATACCACAATATACAAAAACAATCAGCACGTTAACTCTCACGCGCATCTTTTCTATGCCGCCATTCGAGGATAGGGCCTAGGATTAAATGGCAGGGGCTTGAGATTTAACGGGTATCCTTTCTGCTCACGCCGCCATTTTAGGATACAAAGCTCGAGTTAGACTGCTGATTGTTTTTGTATACGCTGTGTAAATACTTTAGATTGAAATAGGTATGTCTTAGAGTTCTCCGTAGGATCCAAAAATGTTATATTATACAAGGGGTGCCATTTAAAAAAATTAAAGTGTTACCAGTAGCAAAGAATCCAGTAGGTACAGCTGTTCTTGGAACATGTCCTGGAACACGACCGATGTTAAGCTACGTTTACACTTGGCAAGTTTACTAGCGGAAAGTACTCACGGTCACTGAACTTGCTTGTTGTTTTGTGTTTACATATTATTATATTCAAGTATATTTGATAAGTAGCTGAAAAGAAAATGGCTCCAATTGCCGCAGAGCGTGCTGATGTTAAATTTGTTGCAAGTGACATTTCCAAGTGTTTAATAGATATGTGACAACGCAAGTAAAATAGAAAAAAACGAGTTTGGATTACAGATTGGATAAGGCGCAGAAGTACTCTGGATGAGTCAGATCAATTTTAAAGGAGAAAGCGATTGAAGATCCCGAATCTCATAGGAATTTCATGAGGTTATCCCACCAAAAACTTCAAGAACTGTTATATCTTGCTGAACCTAAGCATACAAAGTCGGAAACGTGAATGAGAATTCTTGCTATTTCCACTTGTTCATTGTTAAATAGAACTTTTGCTTGTCCGAACCTATTTACCACTCAGAAAGTACAAACAAGCATTCGGACGAACGGCAACTTAAGTAAACTAGCCGGTCTTCAACTTTTAGCAACATTGTCAGCAAGTAGCAAGTGCACTTCAGCTACGCTTACACTTAGCAGGTTCACTGGTGGAAAATACTTGCGGCCACTAAGCTTGTCTTGTGTAAACCGCAGGAAAGTTCACTTGTTACTTGCCGGCAAGTCGAAAGTTTGTTTGCACTTTCTGAGTGTAAACAAGTGCACAAGTAAAAATTCTTTTTTAGCAAATAAGTGGGATGGAAATCAGATAATTAACATTTGTTGAAACTTTTGCAGGGATAAGCTCAGTACTTTTGCGCCTTATCCAATCTCTAATTCAAACGCGTTTCTATCAATTTTTCTTGCGTTGTAACATAACTATTAAATGCTTGACAATTTCACTTGCAACAAATTTAACAGCAAAACTTTCCGCCAGTCAACTTGTCAAGTGTAGACGTAGCTTAAGAATTGTGTGACGGTGTCGAATGACCGTATTTCTAGATGGCGCGCTAAGTACCGGATCAAATTCAAAAATGCACGAACCTCGATTGGCTGTAATATGATAGGATGAGCAGATAAGAAAATCAAAACAAATATGGCGGAGGGCTTTGACGTTTGTTTTTCGGGTTGACAAAACTTTAAAATTTAAATACCAAATGTAGTGTTTCACCCAGAAATAATAAATGAGTTTATTTTTATAAAAACTCATGCATCTTTGGTCGCGGTTAGTGTCCTTTATTCTGTTATAAAATGGCATTGGTGACAATTCAAAGAAGTCCTAGTTCTGGCAGTTCACCAAGTCAGGTATGTTTTTCTTTTGTTTTTTCCGTATTGTATTTGTTAATTTGAATAGATTGTAAGAAATATTAGTGGCATTTATTGTGGTTAAACAAAATGTAATAAATAATTTTTCCATGACAATGGTTACCCTTTATACCCTTGTTAATGCCTACCTGAAATTAGGTAGGTACTATAAAAGAAGGACCCTATGTCTTACCTGCTTAGGTATTCTAGATTCCAATTCTTTTTATTTATCAGGTAAAGTTACTGACTAATAAATTATTTATCTACCTACTCTCTTTATGTAGTACCTATGTACACAATTTTTATCATTGCTTTCCGTTCCCAGCAAAGAAAGTGATATTAATATTATTTTGGCATTATTTATCAAAGATAACGATTCTTAATCCCTCTATGGATCTTTGGCTTTGAATGTTTACATTTCATGACAAAGCTATCCATAATATATGTTTGACATATGATATAACGGACTCCTAATGAACAAAAGTAACCCACAGCCACTGATTATACTTAAATATAAAAAAAAATATTATGAAAAAAAAAAAAAATATAGAACAAAACAAAGCCAATGATAATATTGATTAAATAGATAGATCTTCTATCCTTCTCAGCCATATAGTCTTAGCGCATCAGCTAGAAATGAGATGCGTAATCGATTTATCGAATAGCATCAATAAATCGACATATAAATTTGATATCTGATATCTGAACTACTGTTCTAAGCCTAAGAATGAATTTTATTTATTAGATTGAAGCTCATAACTGCGAATCACGGATTCTTATTTTGCGGAAATTTCTCTATTGGTCCAATCCAAATATTTAAATTTGACAGGGCGCGAAAAACTTTAACTTTTTACCGTGAAAAATTGGAGATACAGCAAATTCCATTGTTGGTAGAACCAGTTCAGAAAAAATGTAATTTTATCTCTTTCTTATACAAGCTGGTAGAAAAAGACATGAATACACTCAATGCGCACTAAACCTTATAATAGAATCCGCTAATAAAAAAATTTCAACAAATGAATTTGCTAGATTTTCAAATAGAGGTTCATAACTAAAGTCGTTTGGTGAAACACACACATCAAACAAACTTGCGGAATCGCGTATGAAGTTCCATAGTCGGGACGCATTTAGGCAGAACTTATAACCGCGAATTGTGGATTTTTATTTTGCTGATTTTTTTCTATTGGTCGATTTTATCTAAATTTGACAGTTTTAAATATATTCGATCAATAGAAAAAAATCCGCAAAATAAAAATCCCCAATTCGCGGTTATGACTGTATGAGGTAAGGCGAAATTCGAGGTGCTTTTTGTTGCCATCTTTGTTTATTTTTTATTTTATTTTCTCTTGGAGAGGCTAAAACTTGAACAAAGAAAAACGATTACGAGTACCTACCTAGAAAAATTTACGATTTATTTTTAATGAAATAGTAAATTAATTTTATGTCGCGACTTTAACATACCGGGTGGGCCAGCGAAAACGAAACAAGGTCGATATCTCGTATTGATCGTTAATTGAAAAAAATCGCTCGGACCCGTCGATTTTTATTCGGAGGGGGAAATCTTTTGCACATATTTTCAATGGTGTCACTTCAACCCTCTCACGGGGGTAAGCGCCAACCCCTATCTTAAATGGCAGTAGGGGTCGAGCGATACCTCATTTCAAAGGTCATCGAATTCTCTTTTCAACGGTGTCTATTTTTTTGAATTTGATGCAGTGGTTTTCGAGAAAACGCATTTAAAAATAGACGGAACTAGTACTGTTTTAGTCATTTTGAGCACTTTAAATTTTGTAGTTATAACAATTTTTACTCAAGAAGGGATTTTATGTGTTTTTTTTTTAAAGTCGTTTGCTATCCAACTTGAAATCACAAGGTTCAAGTCTAGGTTTTTTTTATCACTCAATAAAATTCAACTAAACACATTCTAATTTTAAATATTTTTTGAAAAAAAAAACTTACTAAATTCAAAAAACTAGGCACCGTTGAAAAGATAATTCGATGACCTTTGAAATGAGGTATCGCTCGACCTCTACTGCTATTTAAGATTTAGGGGTTGATGCTTACCCCCACGAGAGGGTTGAAGTGACAACATTGAAAATATGTGCAAAAGATTTGCCCCTCCTAATAAAAATCGACGGGTCCCAGCGATTTTTTTCAATGAACGATCAATACTAGATATTGACCTTGTTTCGTTTTCGCTGGCCCACCCTGTATATTTTTCCAATGTGTGTGCTGCTCAAGAATCTCTTCAGTCTATACTTGAATCTTTTGGTATAGTCATGCATGTTCGATCTCCAATCCGAATAACTAAAACCAGCTCTAACACTAGGCTATTCTTCGCGACATAATTTTTCCATATATTATGTTCGATAGAGAGATTAAACAAGTATATACACGTACGGGACGCGTAAACTACCACAGTTTAAACTCGACAATACGTGAGAGAAAACGTAGATATCGTTGCGGCTGCGCAGAGTGTTTATTTTGAATTTTGTCTGTGGGGTTATGTTATGATTATCTTATCCGAGGACCGAGGTTTAATTTTTTCAAGATTTTTTATACACGCGATATAACGTATAGAAATTAAAAAAAAAAAAAAAAGAACTACTCTTGGCAGTCGCTATTGGAGAACTGGATGATGATATGATGGGTGATGGCATGGATGACGCTGTAGTTCTTCACATCCTGGGAGATGAAGATCAGGAGAATAATTTACCCAATGTTTTTGTTTGTCTTTATTTAGTTCCCTTGTCGTGTTTGGTCAAATTCAGCCCGATACGGTTCACGTTTGGTCGGTATGCAACGATACGTTAGGTCCCATGCGTGATGAACGCGAATTTGATGTTTTTGCGCATGCGTACACGTTAAAATCATACGTTTACGTATACGCAAAAGGACATGTTTAATCTCTCTAAAATAACCCAACATAATCGAACATAATCGTTGGAAAAAGTATGTCGCGAAAAATAGCCTACTGTAATCGACTAAAGTCGTGTCATCTTTTGATCCAAATTTCGTTGATTGTTCCGTTTTCAGTTCAGGTTTTTCAGATCATGAAGCAGTTCTCAGAAGCTGTTGTAGAAAGACCAATAGCAGAAATGCCCCACGTGAGTTACGCCGAATTTTCTCGGATTTTTTTTTTCTAAATTTTAAACACCTATCAATCAATTGACTGGGTGGAGTCGATAGTGCTTCTACAACATTTACAAATACACTTTCTGGTCTTGCTTATAAAACATTTCTTCTTAGGCCTACCGAACATATTGTCTCATTAAAACAAAAATCGGACAATTCGTTCTTTCAAAATTAAACTAAACTAAACAATATTTTTTATATTTCTTGTCACTGCTTTAATTATCAAATATTTCCAACACGGGGTCCCAACAGATTGTCTCACGACGGCTATATTATTCCTCTGCATCAATTTGGATTTTTAACCAACAGATGCACTATTAATTGATTCTCTGTCTTCAATAATGTCTACTTTTGCCTGAACAATTTGCACTGCACGAATTCGAGGCCCTCCTCTGGAATTGTTCATTGTTCAAGGTTCAAGTCATATCTTAACAACAGAAAACAGCTTGTGAGGCTTAATACGACGATGTCTTCATGCAAGCCAATAAAATGTGCAGCAGTGGCGACGCGTAGTAGTCTGGGGGGGGGGGGGGGGGGGGGTAAATGATATGGGGGGTGAGGGGGCGCCCTCCGAAAACGCGTCGTAGGCGAAATTTTTTGCAAATTTCAAGGTCATTCACTTTTCCAGAACAATTATTTCATTTGTGAGAAAAATAAAACAAAACAAAAATGTATTTTCTCCAATATATTATGTATTTTCTTTTTGGCATCGTGATTTTTCTCTTGATAATTCGATCCTAGGGGGGGTAATTACCCCCAGAACCCCCCCCCCCCCCCCCCGACGCGACGCCCCTGATGTGCAGTTCCAAAAGGTACCGTGTGGGGTCCAATATTATTTTTGTTTTTTATCGTTACATTCCTAGTCCAAACATCGCCGGTAAAATCTGCCTGTTTGCTGATGATACTAGTTTCTGCACAACGACTTGTTTACCATTATAAATCAGGATGCGAATCAACCTCTGCTTCAACGCTACGGAAACTAAAGTTCTGTCATATAAAAATACGCTTCAACCCATTGTACTTGATAACACCAGTGGCTGAAGACTCCTCAACAACTCCCTCTGCAAGTATTTTTTTTTTTTATTAGCTATTGCCTACCCTTTGGGTATAAGCTTTCCTCTTATTATGCCAGTTGTCACGGTCTTATGCCACCTGGTATCAGTTCAGTCCTGCCGCTCGTTTCAAATCGTCGCTCCATCTCATTTGCGGTCTTCCTGTGCTTCTTCTATTGCTCCATGGTCTCCATCGAATTAGTTTACCACTCCACTTACCCTGGTCTCTTGCGACGTGTCCCGCCCATTCCCATTTCTGAGCGGCGGCGCGTTGCACGACATCGTGCACCTTTGTTTTTCTCCTGATCCATTCATTTGTTTTCCTATCCCTCAATGATATCCCAAGTATTCTCCTCTCAATAGCTGTCTGGTTTACTTTAAGTTTGTCAAGTATAGCTTTCGTAAAGGTCCAAGTTTGTGACCCAAGTAGTTACTGGTAGGATACACTGGTTGTATAATTCGGTTTTGAGGTATGTCCATATTCAAGATGTCTTTAATTTTGGCATATGCCGCCCAGGTTTGCCGTATTCTCTCGTTTATTTCGAGTACTTGGTTAGCCTTGCCTGTAGTTAGTGTTTGTCCTAGGTTTTTGCATGTAGTTACTTTCTCGATTCTGTTGTCTCCTAGGGTAATTTCTCGTTCGTTCTCTGCGTTTGATGTCAACTTCGTTTTGTCAAAGTTGGTTTCTAGGCCTATGCGATTCGTGGCCCTGTAGGTGTCCTCGATAAGTGTGGCCAGTTCTTCTCTGCTTCCGGCTCACTATGTCGTCGGCAAATATTAAGTGGTTGAGTTTCTCCCCATTGATATCAATGC